AACATAGTATAACCATATTGATTTACTATATAAAAGAAACCACCTGGGAGAAGTGGTCAGGAAAATAAAAAGAAATGCAGGATAAGTTTAGAGAGATATTTGAGTAGCTTTGAAAAAAACAAAGATAAAGAGAGGTAGTAATTATACTAAACTGAATGGCTCCTTGATAAACACAGTTTAAAAGAATTTAAATTATTTGCATAAAATGTAATTTCCTTTTGAATTTTTTTTTACATTCCCGAAATAAATACATAAGTTTAGTTTTAATTAATTTAGGTCTAGTTTTTCTTAAATAAAACCCCACATGCTAAGATATCCCCACCTTATTGTGTTACAAGAACCATAACATTTTAAACCTTTTTGAGTATATTAAAAATAACAGAATTTATTCTAATATCTTGCATGTAAATATTTATTTGATCATAAGTTCCACATTTATTATTTCCAATTCAGCTGGACCTAATACTGTATAGCAAAGTTTTAGTTCCTGAGTAGCCATTTGGTATTCATCAAAGCAGGTTTAGATGTCATTTCTACTTCCTTACATCCCCATGCCCATCAAATCTGAAGTCCAACTCTGTGTAGATAGTATAGAGCTTAATTCTAGGAGAATAAATGCCATCCATCCTCTATTTTTGTAGCTTTACATTAAGCTCTATCTTTCCTTCATCTTTATTCATCTTCTGTTGCAGAAGTGGTAGCAGCCACAGCCACAGCCTTTCTGTCCAACCTTAATCTGTTTCTGTTCTCTTGGTTTCATTCTCTTCCATGTTAACCCACAATTTTTCTCTCACCTTGAACTTCATTCAAAGAATCCCAACTTCCTCCATCACTATTACATCAGAAGTTAGCATTCTCTTTCATTAGTTCATTGCCTTCTAAACGTACAGAACAGTTGAATCATATCAATATTAATTTAACTACTCTATAATAACTTAGGTAAAGTTGTTTATTATTACTGTTATTGTTAGCACTGAGGATTGAACCAGGGCTGTTACAACTGAACTCCCAGTCTGCTGCAAGTGAACTGCTAAGCTTTGGGTCCCGCAATTGTGCATGAAGACTTGAGTCTTAAAATTGACAAATTGTTAATTGGGGGAAGCTGGGAGCCCACAAAGCTGCAGACTGCTTTGTTTTTGCACAATACATCTTTTATAGGGCAGTGTGAAGTTGAATCTTAACTATGGTATAACATTGAAAACAACTAACTTGTTTGCTAGTACTAAGAAAACATTTCCCCCAGTGTCAAAATAGGATATGTTCTCACAAAATTCTAGGAAACATACACCTAAGTAGGAAGCAGGTAGTACAGGTGAGGCTTTATTTTTCTCCTTAACCAGGGTCATCGTGCCCCACAAGAATTAGCCTAACATAAGGAGTTATTACTGTCCTGCCGCATTTAGCATTCCAGCCTCCTTGGCTTCAGCTAGTACACAGGAACTCCACCTTTGGGTTCTTCAGGGTGCACTCTCCATGATTTCGGGAGATGGGGCCTCAACACCAGTCCTTTTTATTTTTTATGTTGAAACAGGGTCCATTAAGTTGCGGAGCCTGGCCTTGAACTTGAGATCCTCCTGAATCAGCCTCCTGAGTTGCAGGTACTGCAGGCATGCACCACTATGCCTGGCAAGTTTAATAATATCCTTTACGTCAATATTATTTTATCTACACATTGCTGACATTGATAAAATCAGCTCCAATTTATACTCTTTAAACCAAATAAGATTATATTCTGAATGTAGTCCCAATGACTTGCTTTTTCAAAGCATAATAATATTTGATAGTAAATTATCATTTATGGGTTATCACTTGTTCTCCATTTTTCCTATCTCTACAACATCTATCTTTGACACATCCAACCACCAAGAAGAACTCTGAGAAATCTTCTAGGTATTGCACCATCCAATGTGATCTTTTTTCTCTATTAAAAGTCACTTTCCCAAAGCCATATATGTATAATATGTCAAAATACATTCTACTATCATGTACAACTAATTAGAACAAATAAAAAAGTCATACACAAAAAAGATGCTAATATTTAAAGATACACTTGCCAAAAGAGATAAATCCTACAAAAATTATATTAATTTGTAATTTTGAACTCAACAGGTCATTTAGAATTAATTGTGCACAGTCAAATAATGAAAATACAAATCAGGGTCAAATTCAAAGAAAAGGATAAATTTGGTATTAGAAAGGTTAGAGTGGTACTGAATTGATATTAATCTCAGATGGCAAATGAGTTCAGAATAACTGTAAATCAATTATTTTGGTCACTTTAGTATTGTACAAATCTGCAGATTGATGAATTATGAGCTCATTTGCATGACATGTTAAGGGATTCAAAATGAGAAAAATATAGCCATCCAGAAATCCAGTCATTCTTTATGTACACAGTTAGATGCACAAACTCAAAGAGGACAGAAGGAGACAGGATTTGAAAGAGATATATAAAAATGCTCATCTCTGGTTCATTATTATTTTATATAGGTCGCTAAATCAATCACTTAAATCTGTCTTCCATTTGTGTCAAAATAAGTCTATTTTTTAAATTAGTATATCAAAAACTGAAATAGGTCTTCAAATAGATTCAACTTAAGTAGCGGTCTGAGTATAATATAAAAATTGTATGGTTAAATATTATTTCCTACAAACGGTCATCTTCTCACAGTCCTATATAAGATCTGATCTATTGTTGGATTTTAAAATAATAAATAGGGCTCAGTTCTGTCACATTTCATCTTCAAATGAGATGCATATGGAATGATTAATTTCATGTAAAGACAGACTTTGTGTTACACTGCAAAAATTTTATAAAATTATAAAGAATCTTCAATGCTTTCCATGTTTTATAACCTAGGCCCTATGAAAAAGTTTAGAAGCAAAAGACATCGATTATTGGTGTCAGATAAAAACTGCTGTTGACATCTCAGTTTTTCTCTCTTTCTTCTATGCAGTTGCTGGAATCAGAACAAAAACATTATCATGCTTACTTGAAGATGAAGACAGGATCTAATTAAAATGGCATCTATGTAATGGACCTAGTTAAGTATAATAGCCACTTAACGAGTTAGTGTTTGTATTCATACTGATACATATTTTTCAATTATATGCATAGGAGATCTGGACATCAAATTCACTCCTGAGCTACACTGAATAGCATAGTCATAATAATCATGTTTTCTTACAGCTACAGCTAACTTCTTGGGATTAGTGCTGTACGTTAACGGTTGAGGTGGAGAATTCCAATCTTGTCAATGTCCTACTTAAACATTAAACATAAGTCTAAAATTTAATGATATTATTATGTATCCTTGACACCTGTGATGACTAATGCTGCTGATACTCTTCTAGCAACTGCAGCTACTATATTTTATACATAATTCCTGCTAAGTGCCAATTGTAGGATATGTTCTGTGCAATATCCAAATTTTCACAACAGTCTCTCAATGTTATTAGTTCCCTTGGCCTTAGAGACATTTAGTAGCTTGCCCAAGTCACAAAGCTAGTGAAGATCTAAACCCAAGTTTGACTCACTCCAGACTCCATGTTCTTATTCATAAAGTCACATATTTAATAAGACCAATTAAAGAGAAATGCACAAACCAAAAAAAAAAAAGCAGAAGTTTATAGTTGTTTTAAAATAACATCATAACTCTTAGAAGGAAATAGAATTCTCATTTTTCTTCATTACTATGACTCATGCAATTGTTTACCAGATTTTGGATGCAAGTATTTTATTCTGCTCAGGGTGAGCAAATGATCCTTTGCTTCCACGTACTTCATTTCTAAAATTGTGAAATCTGATTTGTACTAGGAAGTGACATCTGGGTTTTGTTTTTGAAGATCATATGGGATATCTGCTGAAAAGGTGGCAAAGAATGATTTTTAACCACGTGCCTATTTGAGCAAAGACCAGAGTGACCAGAAAAGATTGTAGTAAGAGCATTTGGCAGAAAATATCAATAACAGCCAATGAGTAATTACTTCGAGGGTGGAGAAAGATAATATTTTCTTTCTATTGCTCTTCTCCAATATCAGCTAATGCTGTTCTGGTCTCTTGTATCTTAAAAGCAACAATAACAGAAAGAAACTCCAAATTCTTCTGTTTTCATATTTAACTGGATTGAATTCTTAAACTTCTTTCTCCAAGGCATGGCATTATACTGCTATAGGGACTATTAAATTACAAAGAATAAAATATTTGCCTCTTTAATAGCTCTGTACATTTCAACAATGACTTGTGACATGTACTAATCATCCTTTGGGAAACTATTTCTTATTCATGTTCGTGTTGTCTCGATATCTTGTATTCAGGATATTTGTACACACTCCAAGTTACTATATTTTATTTCATTTGTTCTGAAAAGATCTCAGACTGTTTGGGATTTATGCCTTACATTTCTTACCCACATTGTCTCCTGAAGTTCTACTGATTTGGAAATGTTTGTTTTAAAATTTTCTAACACTTTTGGATCCTTTGAACCTGCTTTATGACATATGACTCCAGCCAGTGTACCCATTCTGTGGGATCCCTAGAAAACCCTTTAACAGACATGAGCTACATTCAACTGTGTAGTGTACTCAACAGCTATTCAGCCCATAGCTGATATTACCACAAGTTATTGGAAAAGATCTTTAAACATAAGCAACCAGGCAGCAAGAAGCATGTACTATGATAACAATTTAGTTTTAAGGTACTTTGAATATTGTTAAATCTAACCCTTTGTTTTCCAGGACAGGTTCTGTGTGACAAGGTTATTCAAAGTCACTCAATCAAATGGGAACTAAAACTTCTGACTTCCATACTGATGTCTTCTTGTCATCAGCATATTCTGTAAGTGACACTAAAACAGTAGTGTGACCATTGAACTGTTCAGTAACAATCAATCAAAATGCCACAATTACATTTGTTTATAAATGACATATGCATCTTAGTTCAAGTTTTTAGGTACCTTCATATATTGTTTTATACTATTTGAAACATGTATTTTAAACTCTTAAAGTAGAAATAACACTTTTTATTGAAAAAAAGTTAATAGAAAACATAGATGGAAAAACCTGATATTTGTTGATGTTTCAAAACCAGTCTACATATGTTACAGCAGTACATTTAGCTTTTTTATGCATTTGGTTTCTTGCATAGTTTCCAAAACATCCTAGAAGACAGCAATACTTTAAATGGAGTCTGTTAGAGTTTTAAAAAGTATTTTAAGAAAACCACAATTTTTGTCCTCTTGTACTCCCAGAGCTCAGATTAATTAATATTCATCTTTGCTGAGATCTTATCAAGAAAAGATTCAAGTCTTCTATAAAATTGAATTCAACCTATCTACCAAAGCGGCAGAAGAATTTTCATTTTCCCCAATGCTGTGCTGCATCTTGGTTACTGAGATAACTGTTTCCATGGAGCAAGCCATCTATGAGACTGGGTAACAGTCAGTTCAAATGTTCAGCTTTGGTTTCTATTTCAATCCTGTGGCTCCTTCATGACAAGAGAGGCTGCTTTTCTAATATGAGAATGTCCTGTGGTACAGACCACCATGGGCCCAGCATTTATCTCCATATGATAGTGCTTTCTTTATTCAGAAACATTAAAGGTGTCACCACTTGGCCTGATTACTCTTCTGCCAGGAGTTAGGGAGGATCAGAGGAAGCCATTTTCTCTTTACTCTTAAGTAGTACCTAGCATTTGCTTCCTGCTAAATCTTAGGTGAACTCTGGACAGGAAGGTGAGCTTCTCTCTCCATGGACACAGGTTATCTCCTAGGCATGAATAACCAGTCTGAATTTTTCCATCACCCTGTTATTAGGAAGTTTGGAGAAGGCTGAAGAAGTAAACCTTAAACAACAAGATGCAAGATGTTGATAACACTGATTTTTCTGTGGTGCTTTATGATTGTCAAAGTGCTTTCCCACAGACATATATGCCATTAACGGCAGAGACTGGACAGGGTATGAGGGGGGAAAAATTCTAATTAGGGTCCCCATATTCCTACCCACAGGTGTGATCCCCTGAACAGTCATCTGAGTATGATCAGGACCTAAAGATATGATGGAATAGTTACTCATGTTGTTGTAGTTAAGTTACATCAAAGGCTCCACCTTGGCAGAAAGTTACATCAAAGACTCCACCTTGGCAGACTTGGGAATTTCTCCTGCTGCTCTGAAAAGGTCAATGTCAGTGCTGGAAAGGGACCTTGAGCAGGTCACAAGATTAGGGTGTTCCTAGGAGATAAGGGCAAGTCCCAGTGGACATTCAGAAAGATAAATTAAAAAAATAAAATAAAATAACCCAGAAACCCCAGTTAGAATCTGCAGAGAAACAAATTCTAGCAACTCTACATGAGCTTGGAAGTGGATTCTTCCCTCAGTGCCGCCAGCTAAAAACACAGACTGGCTGACACCTGAATTTCAGCCTCGTGAGAACCTGGGCAGAGAACACTGCCCAGGCTTCTGACAAAATAGAACAGGGACTGCAGTAAATGGGTGTTGTTTGAAACCACTAAATTTGTGTGATTTCTTATGCAGCAATAGGAAACTAATAAAATAAAAAGCAAATTATGTATATCATAAACATTCCAGTGATATAGGAGGAAGGTTCAGAACTGTTTTGTCTAACTTTCTTCTGAAAATTAGTAATAGAACTGACATTGGCACATTGGGTTCTCATTTATGTTGCAGTACTGTTCTAATGGTACTATATGCTCTATCCTAATGAGTATTATTGGTAGATTTTCTTTATCCTGTCAACCAGTAAGATGAAAAATTGCAAGCATAATATGTTGTGTTGTTTGGAGGGCTCAATGCAGATGAAAGCATGATGATTTTATTAATTCTCACATCAGATCTTTAGTATAATAAAAACATTAATCAAAATCATATTAAATGTTAAATTGATAATGTTTTAAAAGAATCTAGAATCAAATGCTAATCCTCATCACTAGGCAAACAATATTCTGAGTAGTCAAGATCAGGAAATGTGATAGGCAATTCAACCCACTTTTTGTATTGTTTCTTTGATGAATTGTTTTTGAAACCCACTACAAAATTCCTTATTTTGAGACAAGGCAGATCTAATCCTTTATGGACCATCATTGTTCCCCAGGCCTGGAAAACAAAAGAGAAAAGGAGAGAAAAAATTAAATGTACATCTACTAAGCATTCCTTTGGGCTAAAGTAAAATTGAGTCCACAGCAATTTACTTACTTGACCACATTTGCAGATGATCTCTCCATTTGTTTGATAGTCAGCAAACTTCTTCTGCAGTGTTTTGTTTTCTGTCACAACATAGAGTTTCCTAAAATCATCCAGGAGTTAGAGTCATTACTGGGAATTAGCAAAATACCAATTTGCAGACAACAAGTCCACACTGGACCCTAGACTCATCCACATGCCTGTATTATCCCATGCCTCATTCCTTCTATCCCTCCTGCTTCCAGTATTATTGTGGGAAATCTGGTTGATGTCCCCTATCCACACAAATCTCTCAAGGGTCATGTTTCCTTTTGTGACTTCTTTCAGTCTATTAGTTACTTTAACTTGACTTTGGTTGTTCAAAACTTTGAGAACAAATATGAACATCTGCATATTATGTGCCTTGTATCAAAATGGCTGTGGGATTTACATTTCTCCTCTCTTGTCCCAGCATAGATTACTTTAGAAATAGACATTTGAAATGGGAATATAGTTGGATGGGAGTAAAATAGGATAATTTCTGAAAAAAAGACCCTTATTTTCACCATTTTGAAAGACTGTTTACAATGTAGTATGCTTTACCACTAGTAGAGAAACGAAAAACTGGGTCCTCCCAAACTCACTTGAATTCTGTTGTCATATTGACATGATGCATCTTCTCAATTACATAGATATCTTTCCCTGAGCAGGCTAACACATTACAGTTCTTGCAGAGAAAAGTTATTATTGATGGATTGTCCTTGCACTGCTTGGCAATATTTCTCTTGGTTTTCATTTTCTTTTCCATTATGCTTTGCAACTGCAATTCTAAAATCTGCATACAGAAAGGAATAGTCAATTTTTTCCCCATAGTTTTATTGAAATAAGTTTCCTAGAATTCTGAGATCTTAGTTGTAAAAATATACATTTAGCTGTGGTCTAGTAAAAAGAAATCATGAGACAATGACCCCAGAAGAATATAGTCTATCAGCCTGTCCTATAATCACCCTAAGTCAAATAAAATGTAATAATGGAGCAACAGTTACTGAGTAAGTTTCAGGGAAATGTTTAAGCTCCTCAACTTGATCTTCGACATCTGATTTGATTTTTAAGAAGCTTTCAGTTATATCAATTCTGTCTATGACATAAAAAACAGATTTCCCCTCCTATACTAGTGGTTGCCTGAGCACTGCATTGAGAAGGATTCTCAAATGAGATGAATGGAGACATTATCTTGGTAGCTATGATTTAGTGTCACACCACACTTCACTGGCATTACTGCTCTGAGCTCTTTCACCTGGAGTAGTCTTAGGAAAGCAGGTCTCTTAGCCAAAAAGGACCTAGACCATATCTGCTATGGTTTAAATGTGACTTATATACCCAATTTATGCCAGAGTTAAATCCCCCAATTCTCATGTTAATAGTACTAAGAAGATGAAACAGTCTGGCTATAGTGGGGCTTTGGACAGTGATCAGATTAGGTTATTAAGACAGAACTCTTACGACTGAGTCCTGGGGATTTTACAAGGACAGGGAGAGAGATCACACAGACAAAACGTACACTTGCACTCCTGCCATAATATGGTTATAGCTGGGGGCCCTCACCATAAGCCTTCAACATGCTCTTTGAACCCTGTACTTGTGGAACCATGAACCTTTTCCTTATAAAGTAGCCTACCTCAGATATTGCAGTATAGTCATGAAAAGCTGACTAACACAAAATTTTATTTTAATGATTGGGAAAATTTGACCCATAAATTCCAGATATTGTCCTAGCGTTCACCTTAAATAACTTGTCTTGAAATATCAGCCTTTACAAATATCTATTTGATTCTTTCTTTTTGGACATTAGATGTGAAGCAGTAACTTTCTAGTGGTACTATTTTGTGGAAAAAGTTTGACACTCCAAAATGTTTGGTTTGCTCTCTATCTAAAGGGGTTTTAAAATGTAAGTTTGTATATAAACCTGGCCAGGAAACCTTGGACTTGGTTAGAGTTTTGTACACCAGTTTGAAAGCATCCCTTTCCTGAAGCTCTATTTAGGGTAGAGCCAATTCCAATGTTAAGAAACTAACATTCACACCCATATGCAAGGGTGTGAATTTTCTTCTAAATGGATTGTTTGCTATTATAGTAGTTACAGTCTTTAATTCAGTAATTTGAAGGATTTCCTGAAATATTGTAGAAATACATTCTTCTTTCACTGTATTCCTTTACACAATTCACATAACTGTGTTAATAAACTGAGATGTAGTTAGATGACATATATATATAATATATATATATATATATAATATATGTCATTTTTATATATAAAATATATATATGTCATTTTATATATATAATTTTTTAATCATTCAGATCCAGTTTCAGTATTACTACCTCTAAGAGGATTTCCTCAAACACTCATTAAAGTAGCCATCTAGTGACTTGTTTTATACCATCCTATTCAAATTCCCTAGCAATTATCTTTATATGGTGTAGGTGTTGCTTTTGCACCTTTACTTAGTTTTTCTTCTCCAAACATCACCATTGGCACACTAGTATATAAGCTTCATTCAGCAGGAGTATGATCTGTGTTGTTTGTTACTATGTTCTGTCTGTGCTCCTAGAACTTGCCTGTCTTAAAGTGGACATTTTATAAATATTTCTAGAATTTAAAAATGTGCTTGTATAAACAGATTGGATCAATCCAAAATTACCAGATTTTGTTGAATGAGTGAGTTGCCTTCGTCTTTCTATATCCAGGGCAGCCTGAATTTATATTATCAAAGTTTATGGTTGGTTTTACCATAATGAACAAAAACTCCCTAAAAATTTCCTGCCCACCATAGGTCTTGATTCTTTATAGATAATTCTGGACTAAACACAGCTTAGCAAATAGGAACTTGTAATTTAGTACAATTTTTGTCTGGAAAAGTAGCCACAGAGGTAATAGCAATGGTAATCGTATCCAGCCTTTTTTTAAATGGAGACCAAATTTAGAGGTGAACAAAAACAATACCTTATGAGCATATGCCTCTGGTTTCATATTTTGAACGCAGTGTATAGCTTTATACATCATTTTCTCCCGGAAATCATTAACTATCTCACGTTCAAGAACTCCTGAACCGCTGGGGGCAACCACAATGTAGGTGCTCTCCTCTGCTCTGGCTCTACCACGGGCCTGAGAACATAAAAAAAGTCAAGCAAATGAAAGGCTATTCTTCACTACAAACTTTGTTGGTTTGAGCCTGGAATGATATTTATTGCTCAGCAAACTTGCCTTCAAACGATTGCTCTACTCCTTGTATAGTTAGTTATTTCTTGTAATTCAGCTCTTCAAAACTTAAAATATGCTGTAATATGGAAATTGGTGTTCTAGTGTGAAGAGGGTGAGGCCCTCCCACTGGCTTTGAAAGTCCTCAGGAAGACAAGAGGGATGCATGAGAAAGGGCATCTCTGCCTTGGCATCAGGGCTGGTGAGGCTGCAGATCTGCTCCTGGCATCTTACATTTGATTCTGAGCACATTTCCATGGACACATGCTCATTAGAGAGACAATTTTTTTATGCCTCTCAATAAAGTGATATTCAGGTACATTTTGAGTAACAGAAATGTAGCCTAGCTCAGGAGCCTATCAACTATAATATTATCCTTAAGGAAAAATGCATACTCTTATTATAAATAAATTTCTGAAATAAAACTATTTCCTAATTAGATGACTGCCTGGTTATCTTAGTCTTCTATGACTTGACTTTCATCCAAGGGTATGATTTACAGCATAAATAAAAACCCTTTAGTTATTGTTACAGGAAGCTTATTGTACCTATTAATGAGCACAACTCCTGTACATGTTCAACAAAAGGTAACCATAATACTGCTAATGTAGGTGTGATATAGATAAAGTGAAATTTGAATGGAAACTGGGAAATCTTATTCATTTATTTATTTATGACACTTTTAAATCTGCCCTTACTAAACATTTTATCATGAAAGATTTCAAACATATAAAGAAGTTGAATGAACAAGGGAAGAAAATACAGAAACATCAGGGTTCCCTAAGATTGGGGTGTGTTAGTCTGCCAGACACTTGTGGGAAAGTGTGGTTCAGATTTCTAGTCCCACTGGGGATCACAGACATCCTAGGAATAAGAGGCCTCTCGGCTCTTACATACGGGGCCAGTGCCATGGTCCTATGAAGTCTCAGGTTACAGAAATACCAACCTAAGAAGAGTTTTTCATTAAAAATACAACAGGTATCTGGTTGTCAAATGAATTAAACAGCAGTAATGTAAATGACAGTACTGCTCAGTTCTTCAAGATTGCTCTTTTTAGCAGAAAAGGAAATATGTTTTTAAAACTAAAAAAAAAAAATGTTTTTTGCTGCTTCACTAAAAGAAAGCAATCAGAACATAGAAGGAAAATTTAACACATTATAAAGGTATCTGAACGTACCTGGACCATGGCTATTTCATTAGTGACAAGGCCATAACGGATAACGATGTTACATTCTTTGATATCCAGACCTTCCTCTGCCACTGTGGTAGCGATAAGCAGATTTATTTTTCCAGTGCGAAATTTACTAATGACTTCTTTTTGTTCATTCTGTGGAAACATTTCAATAAATTAAATTTTGTGATGCTAAACACATTAAAATCTTCTAATTAAGAGAAGAAATAATAAATTGCAACTGGTCAGTGTAAATCAAAGGATTAGATCATACACGGATCTGCTGCCATCTGTTTTTGGCATTGAACAAAGACATGATGGGGAGACAACATTTGATTTCCAATCTGGGATTACCACACAATAACACAAATATTTCCCTCCTCCAGTCTGGAGGTGGGAAGATCATCAGTTATGCCAAGGAAATAAACTGATGGGCGATTTGGGAGGAAGAAAGGCGGAGGTGCTGTTGGCTGACAAAAGGATATGGCAATGAGAAGCCGAAACGGGCTTTTACTTTCACTACATTCACTTCAGAATGTTTAATATTCAGAGAATTAGATGTAGTGATGTTTTTATAGATTGTTGAGTTTTGAGTCACAGGAAAAAAAAAATGCACACTCTATACTGCATTTGGTCATTTTCAGAATCATTCAGGGAAGAAACATACAGAATGTTCCTGAAAGGACAAATAAGAAAGTGAAAACACTGGCTTCCTGTGGGACTGGATAAGAGTCTAAGATGAATTTTAGAGGCAACTTAACATGAGTGCAGGTACAGGGTACACTGAGAGTTTATGGTGGCCTTATATCTTACTAGTTTTAAGCAAGATCAATATTGGATGTATTCAATGGGATAACAAAGATGGAAGAATAGGTTATTAAAAACAGATTTACAAGTATTTTTAAATAACAAGTATTCTGGATTTTGAAAGTCAATATTAATATATTAAAATATGCCCTTTGGTCCCTGCATAGGAAGAATAGGTGAGCATGAACCTAGCCTGATGTAACTGGTGTTGTTTTAAATTTTCATATGACTGCCTTTATCAACACTCTTTGATACAGATTCACTCTATCTTTTGTTCCTATACATTCAACAAAATAAGCCATCTAATAAATCATGTGCCTCTGATCCCTTTCTTCTTAGGGGCAGCATAGGTTGTTATTTGATTCCTAACTGCTGGAGAATTCTCTAGTAAGGCCCCTCTTGAGTCTTTAAGGATTTCTTCCTCATGTCTTCACATCTGCTGATAAAACTAATATGTCCTTGGATTTTATCAGAAGATGCCTGTGCCTTAATTCAAAGCAATAACTTTAATAATGAAATTTCAGATATACTATCAGATCTTTAAATCACATCAAGTAGATGCCAACTCCTCTTCTAAAGTATAAATTCACTCCAGTGTACCAGGGTGGGAAATGAAGAATTCAGAGGGGTAAGGAAGGGAAGAGGTTCCAGATTTGGGCATGTAACCCCCAGATTTGAAGTGGATAAGGAGCAGAAGTAGTTTAAAAACAGGATTTTCACTTGTACCTCATCCCTTTTCAAACAGGAGCCAAGGCCACTTGCAACAAAAGTCTCAACATTAAACTAATAAATATAATAAGAAATAAAAGACCTAGAGTGAAAGAGTTTGGATGTAATACTTACAAGGATTAACTCAAAGGCTGTGCGACTGAACTTCTGTTTGGCCTTTCAGCCACCCAGAAGCCAGGGCAAAAACAGTCCCTATGAGGTATTCCCAAAAAGTTTATGTGTGAGACAATGCAAGAAAGTTTAGAGATGAAATGATTGAGTTATGAGAGCCTTGACCTAATCAGTGAATTAATCCCCCATAGGGATTAACTGGGTGGTAACTGAAGGAAGGTAGGGTGTGGTTGGAGGAGGCGGGTTCTTAGAGGCATGCCTTTGGGATATATATTTTGTCCTTGTTGAGAAAGCTCTCTGCTTCCCTCTACCACACTCTTCCACCATGATATTCTGTCTCATCTTGAGCCCAGAGAATCATGAGTTCCCACATAAACTTTTCCTCTTCTAATTGCTCTTGTCAGGCCTTTTGGTCACCACAACAAAAAAATACTAACTGAAAACAAAGATTAAGTAGATTGATTCTGATACTATGAAGAAATAAGCTTGTTGCCCAAAGAAAACAGTGCTTTATCTGGCTTTAAATTTTAGAGGCAACTTAACATAAGTGCATGTACAGGGTATATGGAGAGTTATTGTGAACAATTCCCAAATTCTTTTTTCTAAAAACATGCTCAAATAGATTTAGTTTGCTCCATTGGCCTGAATGATGATGTCCATAACAGAACTGAAGTATCTCCTTGTCCAGCAAGACTTGGGGGTCAGTATGACTTCAGCCTTCAGAAGAACATTTTACTCTAAAAAGAGATGGTTGTATACCCTAGAGATTAGTGTTCTATCTGATGTGTGAAGGGTAAAGATTTGCTCCCAAGATGTAGGCTCTCTATTCATCTCACAGATTGTTTCTTTTGTTGAGAAGAAACTTTTTATTTAGAATCCATCCCATTTATTGATTTTTTATTTCAATTCTTGTGCCGCAAGAGTCTTATTAAGGAAGTTGGGGCCTAATTCTACATGATGGAGATTAGGGCCTACTTTTTCTTCTGTTAGACGCAGGGTCTCTGGTTTTATTCCTAGGTCCTTGATCCATTTTGAGTTGAGTTTTGTGCATGGTGAGAGATAGGGGTTTAATTTCATTTTGTTGCATATGGATTTCCAGTTTTCCCAGCACCATTTGTTGAAAAGGCTGTCTTTTTTCTAATGCATGTTTTTGGTGCCTTTGTCTAACATAAGATAATTGTAATTTTGTGGGTTAGTCTCTGTGTCCTCTATTCTGTATCATTGGTCTAGCAGTATGTTTTGGTGCCAATACCATGCTGTTTTTGTTACTAGTGCTCTGTAGTATAGATTAAGGTCTGGTATAGTGATGCCACCTGCTTCACTCTTCTTGCTAAGGATTCCTTTAGCTATTCTGGGTCTCTTATTTTTTTGCTTTTTCTAGATTAATGGATATAAAAAAGTGGCATATATACAAAACAGAATATTACTCAGCAATAAAATAGAATAAAATCATGGCATTTGCAGGTAAATGGATGGAGTTAGAGAATATAATGCTAGGTGAAGTTAGTCAATCCCCCAAAACCAAATGCCAAATGTTTTCCCTGATATAAGGAGGCTATTCATAGTGGGGTAGGGAGGGGGAACGTGGGAAGAATAGAAGAACTCTAGATAGGGCAGAGGGGAAGGGAAGGGTTTTGGGGTTAGAAATGATGGTGGAATGTGATGGACATTATTATCCACAGTACATGTATAAAGACACAAATTGGTGCGAATATATTTTGTATACATCCAGAGATATAAAAAATTATGCTGTATATGTGTAATAAGAATTGTAATGCATTCTGCTGTCATATATAAATTAAAAAAAAGAAAAAGAAAGAGATGGTTGTTGTACTCATGCATGAAATGTCTATGAGGGTCTTTTTCTCCCCAAGTGTTATTTTACTGTGCACACAATTGCCGCAGTGCCAGGCGCCATCCAGACTTGTTTACAGACTCTAACACACAATAAATAGTATAATAAGATAAAAATGAAATAAAACAAAAACCTTGAAAAAAAAAACATTTTTCTCTACACTGTATTGGGTTGTTAATTTTTGAAAGAGAAACCCAACTTAAATCTTCCTCCAAGTATGGAAAAAAAAAAAAAACCAGACTCTTAAGACAATGCTTAGCTTATCAAATACCAGAGTAGACTATTATTAAACTTGATTTGAAGAACCGGTGTTTCATTCTGTAAAAGTATTTTAAGTGGGAGAGATGATGAAAAGCATTACAAGCAATTTGAGACTGATAATAGTGGCATAAGAAAAGAAGTCCAAAAGAGCGTTTGCACCTGTGTCATAGGCTTGAACTCACTGCTGTGGCCGGCGCCAATCAGATGGTGGGCTTTCACTCCTACTTCAGCAAATTTTTCATTTTCAGAAATCCACTGGGAAAGGGCATATGCGCCCTGTCGTGTTTTTGTAAAAATTATTCCTCGTGCAGATTCCTCGGTCCTGGTATATTGTTCCAATATGGTGTTTCTTAATTTGGTCAGCTTTTCATTTTCATGTTCTGGGTTTTCAGCTAGTTTTTTCAACGTTTTTTTGTTTTCTTTAAGAAATAATTATAATTATTAATATTAATTAGCTTCACTTAGCCATTCTACAACACATATATATCAAACATCATTTTGTACATCATGAATATATACGTTTCATTTGTTAAAGAATAAATAAATTAGTTTTAAAAACTACAATTACACTAGAGAATTTTATGTAGTGATACACTGAGATGTGACTTATCTATCATTGATCTTATGCTATATCTAATATCAGGCTGGTCTGATTAATAAATTCATTGCAGTCATTTTGATAGTAAAATGGATCATCAAGTGGTTGATTATACCATGCAAGTAATCCCTAATCTGGTCACATCAGTTAGGAGTGGGCTTTCTTCTTTGAAAATAAATTTTTAAGAGGGACTCTGGGATTGCTTACAAGAAGCGGTGATTCGTATCAAAGAGGTAAGACTGTTGAAGATATGTTTCTTTGAATCTTACCAAAAAATAAAGTCATGAGAAATTTATCAGTCTCGTTCAACTTCAAAGGTGTTTTTAAATCACCCTCATCTTCATCATCATCACAATCATCTTCATCCACACTTGTGTCACTGTCGTGTTCCACAACTGCAAGCTTCTTCTCTTTCTCATCATTATAGAATGTTTCAAGGTGCTTGTACGCATCGATCATCCTAATGGTGTCATTAATTTGCAGGGCTTCATTGTATTTCCTCAAATGTTCTGCACACACACGGTCTTTGCGATTTCCTTCTCTAGCAGCTGTGAAAGAATACACTGTGTAAGAGAAATAGCAAGCAAGCCCCCTATGACTGTGCTGCAGACTTAAATAAATGATGACTCCAAAATCAGCTTCACCTTCATTTTGAAATGATCAAGGTACCGCTTAAAATGTGTCATGAATTCTCAAAGGGGGAAACAGTTCCCAACTCCTTGACAAGCTGACTTAAACTCTGCATCAGCCAGAAAGTGTACCTGATCCATGCAGGAATGACATGACAAACCTGTCAGTGGAGCTTGCCATGAGAGACAGCTGTTAGTACTAATCTTCTTACTTTAAATATACAATAAATGAAAGAGAAAACTGGATGAATTGGTACTTCTTTCCTCAGATAAGGGATTAGAACATGTTTAAGCTTGTCCCATACAGAATACAGAAACTCAATTTGATATTCTATTTGCTTACAGTTTGCTTGTGAGTATGTGCTATAATCATCTCAAATCTTGGTGTAAACATGCGATAAACTGTTAGTTCAAACCCAAATTACCTTTTTTTTCCTTTTGAATGGCCCATTGCTCATAAGGCTGAGTTCCAAAATCTGATGTTGGACTCATTTGGCAGTGATTTTGAATGCTTGTCATTATTTTTACAAGTTTCTCTTTAAACGGATCCTAAAAATAAATTATACACTTATTCTTACATATTTATGCTGTTATGGAGTGATGTTATCTTTGTTAAATTTGTTTATATGTTATAATAAATTTGACTGAGAATCTTTGCCTAGACAATGTAACAAGATAATCTCTAATCACGTCTTTGTACATTGTACTTATTTTTTTCAGCTTTTTATTACCTCTAACATCAAGCCATACCCATACTAACACCATATGCCTCTGCTGTAATTTCTAATTTAAAAGTTTTACAGAAGTAAAATTAATGAATGATATAAATCCTAAATATTAAAGGTAATTTTAAAAACACATTGAATTAATGTCACAAGTACTTGGAAAGTCAACAAATTAAAGAAGCACTTCAAAATTCAAACAAATTTAATACTGTTTTCAATATTGTTTTTATCAAAATAAAAACCTTAGTTTGAAAAAAGAAAAATATGCCATAGTTTATGCTATATGATTCCATTTTATAAATTTCAATATCAGTCAAAACACATCTTTGGTTTTAAAATCAGGATAGTAGTTCTCCTTGGGACACTGTGATTGACAGGGGGAGGAAGGAATTTTCAGGCACTGGCCATGTTTTATGTCTTTATCTGTATTTTATTTGCATTGATGTGTTCAGTTTATGAAAAATCCACAAATTAGTACACTTATGATTTGTGCTTTTCTGTGCATGTGTTATACTTTGATAAAAAGTGTATTAAAAGTGTATCAAGAAGTTAGTAAGCTAAGAAAGAAGAAATTCTTTTCAAAAATATCATAAGAATTTTTTAATGATTATGAGTAGAAACATGCATGTAAACATATCAAATAAAACTGAATGAATAAAAAAAGTGAAAGTGAATAAAGTACATTTGAATGTGTGCATACACCTCAAACAGATAGTACTCTTTCAGAATTGAAAAAATTATGAAGGTTGGTCACTAACATTGGTTTAGTGCCTACTACATTTTAATCACAGTATTGTTTACTGCACATATATCATTTCCCTTATTCTCAATATTCTTACGAGTTGTATTTTCAATGTGATTAAATGAAAATAGCTAAAATTCATCATGCTTTTTCGATTTTACAAAAAATAGTATTTATATAACCTACTGGTCATAATGTCCAAATTGACTCTCAGTTGATTTTTATAATCAATAAAAATATTCATTAGAGAAACACCACTAAATTAAATATTTCACTCCTTTATTATTATAGCATTTTCCCCAAGAAAGTAAATATGCAGATATGCAAATTAGGTAAAATTTCCATTATCATTGCCAACTTTAATCTGGTAGCAACAAAATGGCTCTGTGGAATGTCAGAAAACTAATCCTGGAAGTCACCAAGAGAGTAAAAAGGATAAAGTTCACTGTCATATCCCTCTAGTTCAGAACACTGCTCCTTAGCCTCATGCCTGTGACCTGTATCCCTCCAAGGCTCACATGTAGCCAGTTACTGAGTTACTTTTTACATAAACTAGAAAACTAAAAGATGAATGGAGGAAACAATTAGCATCAGTGATTTGCTGCCCAATACCAAGTTTTGAAAGCATAAAACTTTAACTTGTTTGCAAAAATTTTTAAGTATTATCCAGATGGTCAGTATAAAATAGCTTTTGCCATCTTTTAATTGAATATGGCATTGACAATCAAATAGATATAAAATGTTAAGAACATACTTCTCTGGTGTCATCTGCAATTACAAACTTCTTGCATGGCTCCTTTATTTGGTCTTTGAGTTGCTCAAGGTTTTCTTTAACAGTTTTAATGGTAAATGCATCAAGATTGGCACATATCTGGAGAAGAGATATTTTAAAATGTTCAAACAATTACTTTCCCCTTATAATTGATTCAGTGTTAGTTTTTGTGTAAGGAATATGTAGTATATAATTTGCGGCATAAATATGTAGCATAAAATATCATGTAAGTAGTAAAAAGAAGCTTCTAAATCAAGTTGGTGAATAATTATAGCAAAAAGTATATTTCTTCTCATCTCTTAAATTCCATTCTGCAGCTGGAAAATTGGACATGAAAAGAGTACAGCAATTTACAGAGATTGACAGAGAATGGAGATGAGATAATCATATTATACAGGCGTATTACAGATCATCTTGACAACCATGGAACACTTTACCAACCTCTTCATATAATGAAGACAGTGCAAAGTTGGAAGCAGCCTTATCCCTTTGTGCATAGATTATACTGGAGTTAGTTCCTAATTCCAATGATAAATTTTATCTTGAAGCCAAAAATTGCACCTCTGAATGATATGTACTCTAAAGATTTTTACTGAATTTAACTCTAAAGGACTTAACACACAAATGCAATTCTTGGGCTACTCTGATTCACTTCACACTTGAGATCTTTAACACTTGAGTGGTTTACATGGCTTCACCATTCTGGGGTAGCTGACAATTTCATCTTTAATGAAAGATCCTCATATTTCTATTTCCCATTTAATTTGAGTAGCTCAGATTCATAGAAAGACACATAACCGAAAAGACACAGAAAATATTCAGTTTTACCACTCATGGTGTAAGACGCTATAATGCGTGAAATTTATAAAATAATCTATGCACATTTTTATATAGAATAGGTCATTAAGTTGTAGAATATTTGAGAAGGCATTCTGTTTGTCTCAACTGCTCATCAGTTATATCTACTCTTCATAAATGTTATGCTCTTCTGCATCACAGTTATTTAAGTTTTATCACTGTTTTGTGGATTAAGTGTATTTACCATAGTTACAGCAAAGAGATTTAGTTTAACTGATGATCATGACATTTGAATTCAACCTTACTTAAAAAGTCCAAGAAACATTGTTATTTGTTTTAGCTTCTTGATGATATGTAAAGTTCATGACTTACTTTTAAAATGTGTTCTTCAGCCTTGGCTTGCTTTGTGGCACCTCCAACACCGGGTGAAGCTGTTAGGCCCAATATCTGAGGCAGGGGAATCACTGGTTTGTTTTCTTTTTCCAGACGTTTGTTTTTCAACTTCTGTTTCAAATAACGTCTCATGATGTTATTATAGACTGCTTCTTTGTTGGTGTGATGACATTCATCAATAATAATGAGGGAGAAGTCTTAGAGGAAAATCAAATGGTTAATTTTGCAATACCTGAAAGCTACAGGGAGAGAAGTACCCTGAAACTAGCAAATCAAGTGGCCATGGGGATGTCTTTCTTGGGCAAGAGACTGGCACTATTCTGTTTCAAATTGTAGGAGAAAATCTAATCACTCACTCAATCTGTGTATTCCTAAGTATGGGATACTATTCACCAAGCTATACCTGTTACATACTATACCTGTTTAATAGATGGGTTTCAGAAAGTTCATAGAGCTAAAGTGTTAGTTCATAAAGCTAAAGTGTTAGGAAGTGAAATTTACAGCCTGCTTTTTTTTTTTCTTTTTTCTTTTTTTTTTTTTTTAAGCATTCAGGATTATCCTTTGGTTGTTTAATAAAATATTTCATTTTGGGTTGGCAATCTTTATTTTTATTACATCAACTAAAATTATGCACTATTTAAAAAGAGAAAATTTTGTTTTAGGATTGTATTTAATTGTTATAATTACTTTTAGACTTTCCCTGCCAATCTCCTACCTTCTCAACCCGTCCCAGAAAATAGGAAGGATTGTTTTTTTCACTCTGCAGAGAAGGCCATGGTTCTAATGGAATCTCTTAGCAAATAAAAAAATTTTGTCAGAAGTAAACAGAGAATCCAGTGAGTGCTTGATTTAATAATGGTATTCTTATGAAGATAAAAGTGATCTAGAAAAACTTAACTTTTTGTTTGTTTCTCCCAGTAAGTGAAGGGTTTTAGTGAAATCTTAAAACATGAAAGACAATCTAAATGAAGGCTAACTTCTCATCAACATTTTAAAAATTATTTAAATAATTCAACCTCTTTTACTATCAACATTATTACTATTTTTTCTTTTTCTAAAAACAAACACTTCTACCAACCTGACAAACTGACACCAGCATCTTCTCCACTTTCTGAATTTAAGAGGGAGTTTTCAAGGATTTGAGCTGTACTGATAATAACATCATAGGATTTGACAACTTCTGGAAAAGATATTTTCAGTTGGGTATCACCACTTAACCCAATAACATGATACCATTTCTTCAAAAATGGTTTGAACTCTTTGAGGAAGAGCTGTTCAGCTAAAATTACCTTAAAAAATGAAAAGATAAAAACAAAAAGAGAGAAAGCAAAATCAAAGTAAATGGTATTGATCAAAGGCCTACTATGTGTGAAACATTAAGAGACATGTTTGCCTTATCAGTTAATTAGGCATAACAACCAATTCTTATATTCATCTGTCAATGAATGTTTATTGCATGCTTGTTAGGTGTGACGTCATATCTGGAACATAAAGGTGTTTGGGCTATGGTTAATGGCTTAGAGCAACTCAGTCTAGCTAAGCACAATTATCAAGACTAAAAAAAAAGTAATGCAATGTAATAATTCTCTTGGAGAAGTGAATACAAAATGACAGAAAAGAGGAAGAAACAACTAATCCCTCAAAGGAAGTGTTTAAGAGGGAATTCGAATCTACTCAGCCATGTGTTAGTAAGGACATAAGTTGAAACTGAAATGGGATAAGAAATATATTTTTAATTTGCACAGCAGGGCCAGACTGTGAACACTAACAAGAGTATTTTAAATGTAATGTAACTGTTCATAGGATCCTTACGAGTGGTGTATAGAGGTGATTTATCCTCAATGTTAGTTTGTGGATCAGGCTAAAAGCAACCTACCTGAACAATTAGAAAGAGCAGGAAACCAAGAGCAAAGAGGAAAGGCATGACTGGGAGCCTGGGTAGGAAGTGAGGAAATGAACAACTGGAACAGCTTTGGTGACCGAGCAAAAACCAAAGAGCAAATACACTTGGCAAAAGAAGGGGACAACTTTCTATCTTGTTCAGCTGACTCTGTATGTTGCAATGACTGCTGAAGTTGGCCGGATTGACACTGCAATGCTTCATATTAGTCGTCACTGGATTGGGGGAGGGTCCTTTTCTAATAGGATTTATACACTGGAAGTCAGGGTTATGTAGTATGAAAGATAGTTGCCGGGAAGAGTTTCAAGGGCAAGCCTCAACAAATGCACAATATTTTCCTCGTGATGTGATTACCTGATAGTGCAAACAGTGGAATATCTGCTATTCTTTTTACTTGAGGTGATCCCACTTATGTGTTAAATAAGGGCTGGCTGATCTCCCTGGTGGAGAATGGTAGCACACAAAGAACAGGCTTTTCATTATTATTTATTATTATTCAGTAGAAATGATAGAGGCTTCTAGGAATAAATGTCTGGGGAGGGGAAAAGGGAAGAGGTAAAAATGGAATCCATGGAAGCAAAATAGTCTTAAAATCAATAATCAAGGTTTGCAAGTGAAAAACATTACCACAGGGTAGAAGGGGGTAATGAGAAGAACTGTCATTCAGTGTTTTTTTCAAAAGAAATTCTCTCTGGTTTACCTGCCACAAAATCACTTAAGAGATTTGGAAAACGCAGACTCTTGAGCCCCATTCAAGGATTGCCGTATCTAGGGACCACCTGAGAGCAGAGCCCTAAATTCTTCACTTTAGTGAAGCTCCCACGTGACATTTAAGACTTCAAAATGTGAGTGCCACAACTCTTCTGTCTCTCCCACAAAGCCATCACTGATTCATTTTTCTAGAAGCATTGTTTGCACTGGGTAAGACAACAGGAGTAATCTGAGTCACAAAGATTCTGAAGAAGAGAATGGAAAATGAATGTGGTGGAAAGAAAAAGCAGGTCTCAGAAGCAAAACATCCCTGAAAAGAGCCACTCCAGCTGCTTGATTGTGTGTGACCTGGACAAGATCTGATTCGTCTCAAGTGTCTCCATTCCTTCAAAACTAAGGGTAATGTGTGGACCTGTCATAGGGTTGTGAAAATTAAATGTAGTAGAAGCTGCCATGTTTCCAGTACTCAGAAAACTTCCCTGATACACCACTTTGCCTTTCATTTGAGTGGCAGAAGTAGTGGAAAGAGAACAGGTTGACTTTAGAGGATAAGGGTTCAGTTCTCTTCTCTGATGCTTATTGGCTGGATGACCCCTGGAAGGCCAATTAAAGTTGGAGCCTCAGTTTTCTGATGGAAAAAAAAAATGGGATAATCATGACTACCTTATAGAGTCACTGTGTGGTTTTAATGAGATAATGTACAACAGAGCACTTTATAAAGTGCAATAAAATATCAGTTATAGTATTAGCATACATCTCTCATCTCCTTTCTAAACTGTAGATACCTTGAGAACAGAATGTGCTTTGGATATGTTTTTAAATACACTCATGCTGAATGGCATAATTAAAAAATCTCTGGATCATGGAGTGACATATCAACTTCTACCCATAAAAGAGGAGTCAAAACCTTCTAAGGAAGCAGCATCCTCTTATCTGCAAAACAAAAACATTGTCACAGGAAAGAGCAGGTGTTGGAAGTCCTGATAATCACTCTGGGTGGCATTGACTTCCTATTGAAGGACACAGAGAAAGCCAGATGCAAGTCTGACATGGCTAATTGGGAGGTGTGTGGTCCTCTTGGAGCCTTTTCCTGAGATGTGACAGAGTGCCTGCCAAGACTAATCAAACCCAACTGCTACCCACTTCTGCTGAATCATATGGGGCTACATTATAGCATCTGAAGGAACCTGGGATTTATCTCTCATGATGTTGAAGCCCTAGATAGGAAATGAAAAGTCTGGGAGCACAGGTGGTGTTTTCATTTCTCCCTGCATTTGAAGGCTATAACTTTGGAAAGGATGGAGGAAGGGAGATGAAAGTAAAGGGTATTAGGAAACATGATTTCTCTTTTCTAGATCAAAGGTTACAGTAACTTCCTGTTAGGCTTAAAAGCAGAATGCAGGTTAAGTTTACTTATTGGACCAGAGATTTCCTGACTCACCAAAAGTAATTAAAGTGAAATTACTCTAAAATAAAAAAATGGAATAAGAAATTATGCAATTATGACGTAGATGGGAGAAGTAGTGGAGGGATTTCTAGTATTTCTAGGGAGAAAAACAACAGGGAAGCTCAGGGACTCAAGTTATATCCTCAAATTTTCACAAGACAAAATGCAGTGAATGTGAAGAGTGAGGATGAATTAACATTTAAACATGGCTATAAATGAGCATTCATAAAAATCACCTAGATCTGAGGAGATGAAAGTTTCCTAACTAGAATAAAGCACTGAGATAGGAAGTCTCATAGAAAGGAAAGTGCATTAGACACGTACAACATCATGAGACCTGAAATGATAGGGCAACATCAGCAATATGAAGAGAGAAGCACAAGTATTTGCATTTAGGTTAAAAACTTAACTGCACAAAAATAAGTTAACTTTAGCTTAACAGATTTTCAGAAGAAAAGGAAATGGGGTTCTGAGTTCATGGTAAGGTGCAGATGAGTCTGTAGTTGTCAAAGCAAACCAAGTCACAGGCTGGGTGAGTGCTATATCATGTATCTCCTGTACACCTCAATGGTAAGACCATAGCTAGAGTATTTTGTTCTGCTCTGGACTCTGTGTTTTAAGAGGGTTCTGGATAAAGTTTTGGAAGAATATGAGAACTAAGAATGATGAAAGGCCTGGAAACCCTGTTATATCAACAATTAAAAGAACTGTGGACATTTATCCTAGGGGACAAAAAGAAAAGTAACATAGGACTCACAGGACTCTTTCACAAAGGGCTGTTGTAAGGTAGGAGAATTATGATTTATTTTTCAGAAATACAGAGGAAAAAACTGCAAATAATGCATATGAGTTTCAGAGAAGCAAATCTGGATGAATACATGTGTGGCTTTCTAACAGTGTCAGTATGTCAAAGAATGACTGGGGCTGTCTTATAGACAGGAGATCTCCTTGATATTTGAAGTTACTCAGTGGAAATAAGAGAATGACTCCACCAAGGAAGAAATCTGGATCTCAAAGGCCCTGTCCAGCACTACTGCTCTGTGCCCCTGTGGCCACATAAAGGAAACACAGAAGTAAATGAATAAAAATTGGCCCCTAGGTTTTGAGGCTGTATGGTTCGGAGGAGGTGGTATAATTAACAAAGAGACAGGTAAGTAGGGAAAGTGAGCCCTTTGACAGGGTAGATGTTGAGGATGAGTTTGAAAAACAGCAGAATAGCTAAGTTGTAGTTAAAAAATCAGTTTAAGTAGCTTTGAATCCTATTAACTTTGTTCTGTCTCTGGATCTGACACTAAACCTATTCTCTGGTTAAAGTGTTTGATTTCATTAGTTACAAAGGTGAGGAGAATGAATGGGAGAAAGAGTTAATATTTATTGAATCATTATGAGACTTTTTATCAACACACACACAATCTAATTTAGATTTCAGAACATGGTTATTATTATTTTGTTAATTTTACAGATGAGGCAACTAATTTGTCTGAGATCACACTGCTGTTAGGCAGAAATAGGATTCAAACTTATTCTAAAAAGTAATATCCATCACAAAGGAAATATATGAAAGGTTATAGACAAATAATTTCTAATGCATCACCATTACCAACAATTAAATAAAAAATAAATAAGTTCTCACAAAGTAAATGTGTAAAAGAGGGTATAAATGTGTAAAGGAGTAGTTTTAGACATAGCAGATATATACAAAATACATTTGGAACAACATGATGGATGAAAGTTTGGGCATAAAGAAATACTAAAAATATAGGAAGTTTTATAGTTGACTGGTGAGTTTTCTGTAAAGAAATTCACGAGAATGGGAAAAAGTCTATTCCTGGTCATGAAAAATATACTCAATTTTATTCCAAAAAATGGCAAAAACTAATATCCCCAATCTGCAAATTTATAAATTAACAAATTCTCATCTATTTTAGTAAGGCTCAAATACCTAGATTTTGTTTCACAATGAAGAAAACATATATCTATTAATTAAGATGCCCTTCACATACCTTCATATAAAGTATTAAAGAAAAATGGTCACATTTAATGTTATTATACTTACTACATTAACATATATTATACATATGTGTAATATGTGTATACATTCTTTGAGCATTATTTACCTATTTAGCTGGATATACATAAACCAAATATTCACTTCATTTTCTCTTTATCTTTAAGCCACATTATATATATTCTGGAGAGGACATTTCATATTCAATTGAGGACCAGTGCTTAAAGAGACTCTAAAAGACATTATTTGAGCCTAGATATATTGAGGTCATTGATGTTCACATGCAGTGAGAAACTAAACCAGTATCAGTTGACCTTAAAATACATCTTGCAAATATCATCTTTAGGCCTAAGTTATAGTTATTTGATTTAATGATTTTATAGAGAAATCCAACTTTAAGCTTTGTCACTTAGTAGAAATACTTATAAAACCAAACACTGAAAGTAAAATAATTGCTCATTTTGACATTACATCCAATTGAACTTAATCTGTGTGTTATATTGCTACAAATATTATTATATAAAGGCTTCAGAATAGTAAAATGAAAAATGAATAAATGATGCCATATTACGTGTTGTCTGAATACCTTATTGACAAGAACTATAACTTTTCCAGGCTCAAATGCTTGTTTCTTTTTGTCCAAGTGATCTCTGGCAATGTAAACAGCCACTCTGGTTTTCCCACTTCCTGTGGGAAGGCATATGATAATATTCTTCCCTTCCAAGGCTGGTTGGGCAACTTCCATTTGGTAAGGCCTGAGCTTCAGTTCTGGCTCAGGGGATGCTCTTTCTGCAAACTCCTCTTCATCTGAAGAAAGTTGAAAAGAGGAAAAATAAGAGGCAATAAAATAATCAAGGCTAGTAGGCCTGAAACTGAATATAGGCCTCTTGTGGTTTAAATTCCTTCTCCTCTATGTCCAAACCAATTCATTTTCTAATTTCTGTGCCAATCAGTGTCAGGTGTCCTCTTAAATTTGCAAAACGCTGGTGCTATATCATGGAAGTGGCTTAAGGAGTGGGGGTACAGGAGTGAATTAACAGCACGAGGGCCTGGGAAGCTAGCAACATGGGGGGAATGTTTTCAAAGAGTGAGCAAAGCCAAGAACAATTTACAGAAATGGTTGTGGTGCTGGATTGGCAGTTATGTTGTTAATGCATCAGAATTCCCATTTCTTCATTTAGCCAATATGTCTTACTTGTTTCTTTGAGCTTTTCCACATGCAAAATCAAGAGAAACTGGGAAAGCAGGATTCATTCATCCCCCTTTTTCTGCTATCACCCTTATTTTTTATTACAAAGAAGATATTACAGCTGATTCTGTTTTTCTTCATTTGTTAAAATTTTATCTGACATCTAAAAGACAAAAAAGCATATGTACACAATTTTCCCTTGATATCTATGGGGAATTTGTTGCCCCTGTGGATATCAAAATCTGCAGTTGTTCAAGTCCCTTATATAAAATAGCATAGCATTTCCATATTGCCTGCACACATATGCCATAACTTCAAATCATCCTTATATTACTCATAATGCTTAATACAATGTAAACATTATGAAAATACTTGTTATTTTGTATTATTTAAGAAACAATAACAAGAAAAAAATCTGTGAATGTTCAATACAAGCAATTGTTTTAAAAAAACATTTTTGATCTGCAATTGGTTGAATCTATAGTTATGGAATATGAAGGGCAGGATGTAAATGTTTGTGTGTGTGTGTGTGTATCAAGTCCTCTCCTATTTGAAGACATTAAGTTATGGGGCTGGGGTTGTGGCTCAGTGGTGACGCGCTTGCCTAGCATGCGTGACTTACTGGATTCGATTCTCAGCACCACATACAAATAAATAACATAAAGGTCCCTCAACAACTAAAAAATATTTAAAAAAAGAAATTAAGTTGTGCAGAAGCAATATTTAGTGACTAGGAGAAAAACTTTGCTCATGCTAGCCTTTAATTCGCAGGTTTTCATTGAAAGATAATAACTAATTTTGTTAATTTAAACTAAATTGTGACTAATTTTGCCATTTAGGTTTGAATTATGATCTTTATTATATCCTTATATGTATATCTCCACAAATTCATATTTCTCCTGAAACCCAAAGCACACTATATTACAAATATTTTAAATTAACATATATATATATTTTTTTTTTGACTGATAATACTGGTAAAGCAGTTGCTAATGTACACTAATTTTAAATGTTAGAATGAGATTATTATAACATACATTGGTTTCAATATATTTTGTTTAGAAGTAACCATTTTAATCTACATTAGCCATGAGAAAATATTTAAAAATGTACAGTTTACAACATGGAATGCAGTAATATAAATGTTATACCAATTTAAAAGTCTATCTTATGTTTTATATAATCACAAGAAAAAATGAAATGACAGCACTTATCAGTACTTTATCACACATGAAATAGTGTTCTTTCTCTTATCAATGGTCACCAATAAAACTAAACTAACATAATCCCATTAATGTTTGAAAACTTGCTGATGGCTCTGTTTCAGCAACTGGATGGTTCTATTTAAGTGGACTTTAACTTGTTGTGATAGTACTATCTGAACAGGTAGGAAATTTCACACAAAATACCACTTAGGAAGAACCATCTATAAAGCTGGCAGGAAATGTGCCTTCTGTATGGATGAGTGAAGACAGATGCAAGACATTTAAGCTATCATTGGGTCTTCTGCTGATTCATTTAGTATAGTTTTCATGAAAAACTCACAAGATTATCAGCATTTAATATAGACATTTACACATTTACAAGTTTTCTTTCTATGCTTACTTTGAACTCATAATATTTGTAACTCATTTATGTAAGGTTCAGATTTATTTAAGAACAATATTACTTCTCTACTAAGTAGCTTTTATAAGTAATCAAAATTCTGATATTTCACCTCCATCAGAGGATATATATCACCTAATTTTTTCAAAAGAACAAAGTTTTTTGTTGTTGTTGTTGTTGTTGTTGTTTGTTTGTTTGGTGGTGTTAGGGATGGAAAAACAGGGCACCATAAATGTTAGGCGAAGTCAGAATATTTGAAGCAATGTCAAAACCAAGATCCAGGAGGAATTTATTCTTGCTAAATTGCTATTTAGTCTATGATATTCATTAAAAAATATTGATAAATTCTGTTTTGCATTTCACTGTATGCATTTTTGCATAGATGTTTTTAAAATAATAAAATGCTGCTTTCCTTATTTTAGTTGTATGTATTTTTTAAATAATCATTCTCCCCTTTTGTTTTTCATGCTTACTTCTATATCCTTTGGTAATAATATGGAGCAGTTTTCTAAATCTCTTTCCCAGAAACCTAAAGCCCAATCAAATGAGTGAGATATCAACATCACTTATGCATATTAGATATTTACTATGCTAATAGATTTAAGAAGAGTTGAAATGTTTAAAAGATATCGTGTTCAAAATTTAACTCTAGAATCAAAGTCATAAATCTTAGTGCTACTTTACTGGTCATGTACCACTTAATTCATTCTGCAATAAATATTTTCTGGGTGCCTATCATGTGCCATGCACTACTAAAATACAACCATTTCCTTAAGGATTTCAGACAAGAAAACTATACTTCTACCATTGAAATGGGCTAGACAGCTCAGTAACTTTCTATATTTTTGAGTCATGACTAGGAGATTTGATGGGCAGCCCAAGTTTACAAGAAAAGCACAGAGTAGATAAGGAGAGAGAGAGAGAGAGAGAGAGAGAGAGAGAGAGAGAGAGAGAGAGAGTTGGATTCAATGTGAAAATTGCATCCAACCAAAAAGAGCTGGGTGAGTGCTAAATATTCAGCCTGATTTCTTGCCTTATCACATCCTCTGACATAGGGATGGAAGAATTTATCCACACAAGCAATGAAAAAAGGGTTCCCTCTTCTCTGTCACCAGAAGGAGAAAACTGGGCTGGTATCAATGAGTCAGGAGCCAATTTCCTTTATAAAAGAAATGTTTGCATTTTTGTTTGTTTGTTTGTTTTTGGATCTCTCTGAAAAGCATAATTACATCCAATAATAAAAATATCATTTAAAATATTCACAGGCTTTTAATTATACTGTGCCCTCCCTCTAAAACAAAGAATGACTAAAGACCTTAAGATTATATTATACTGTATAAATGGTCAAAAAATGAAATCAAATTAGGTTTAAATAATAATATTCTATTGGAACTACACCATGTGGCAAATTTCATTCTCACATTGATTTTGACAGCTGAGTTATTCTTGGAGAGAAAAGGTCTGTCACTGCATGTGTTCGAAATCCACAAAGTATTCCTTTACCTATAGCATGTAACACAGAAAAATACACCATTCCAGTTGGACAAATATTAATAGGCATTACCTCGAAATAGCAAGGAAACACTTTCTAAATATCAGGCCAGTTTATATTGACAAAAACATTGCTACTTTTTGAGAAACAGTTTATCTTTCTGAAAATGGGAAATGGGGGGAAAAACCCTTTTATAATATAATTAGAATCTTTAAATTCTAACAGTTACCAGCAATTATGCTTTGCTGTGGCATAAGACTTCCTCAAAGAACGTAATGTAATTGTGTTGGTTCACACCTGTGATCCTTGTAGTCCATTATATAACCTTTGAGTGAGAATGAAGGACATGTAGAATAAGATCTTTTAGCTGTCGACCTTAAAGGTTAAAATATGATCTTAAACACTGTAATACTCTTCAGTAACTCAAAATGTGTTTAATGATTCACCAGTTTACCAAAACCTTTCATAAAATTCAATAAAATTGAATCAATTCAATAGAATTGGTTTCTATTTCAGCTATAGCATGCAGCAGAAGGTAAGGAAATTCACAATTTTATCATTTCAGAATTTTACTGCCCACTATGCAAAGTAATTCTGTTTCTAAACACTGACCCATCTAGAACTTCAAGGGTGTCTCTTGGAAATGTGTTTGTCTTTGAAATGTATTTGCCTTTGAAAACGTATTTGCTTTTCAAAAGTAGGTTGCATTCGGATTTATCACGTCTTTCATGCCACATTGAGGACTAAAAATCAGCAAATACATTTGCTAACAGCTCTAAATAGGCAAAATGCCCTGCACACAGAGGATATGCTTTAAATATTTATTGAAGGAATGAATATTGTTGAAAAACCCTTACTTAGACAAATAAAAATTAGGATGAGGTCCAGAAGCTTAAAACAACCCATTAATGTATTAAATATTAGCTAGAGTATATTTTGCGTTCTAGTAGCACCAATCACATATAATAGAAATGGTAATTATTAAATTTACCAATTTCAGAACAAATAATGAAAAACAAACACAATCCATAGAAGTAAGCCCCTGACAAGTACTTAATGACACTGATGGAAGTAAATACAAAATGAATTAACCCTTTCAACTTACAATTAACGTTTTGACTGACATTTGGTGAATTGTTTTCTTAAAAATAACTTATTCTCAGGAATTCAGGAGTATGATTGTGAGAAAAGGATATAGAAATAGTCATGGTGGTACCATTTAACTTAGAAAGCTATTAGGGCAGATGACCATGTTTTTATATGCATTTTTTTCTCTTCTGAGCCTATTATACATCTGTATTTCTATGATTCTGACAATGCAGGATAATATAAATTGCACATTTTTTAATTCATTAATGAAGGATAAACTAATTTGCTTCTTAGTCAGTTTTCCACTGCTTCTTAGCTGGCCAAATTGCATAGTACTTTCCCTTTGTAATTTGTTCATTTTAATTATGAATTATTCATATAGACCAATATAGAAAGGTATATAATAGACATTTAATAATCCATCACCATACTTAAAAATATCAATATATTAGCTCAGTAGTAATCATGGAATACACATCCAAAGAGACAAAAATAATGTGAATCTACCAAACTGAGAAGTTAGGAAATTTGGTAGGAGTGAGTTTTGATGAAGGTGGGGGGATTGGGAACAGGCACTTCCATTTATTGCTGGTGTGATACACAACCAGTAGGAAAAGCAACTTGGGAACTACCTAGCCAAGTTAGCATTTAGTGATCAAAGTATTTTGTAAGCTCTATTCCTATTCCAGAGCTCTGTGCACAAATTGGAACTCTTTTAATTATATGCTTCAGTTCTAGTTCTTTGTTTTAAGAGATGCTGTTTATCATTTGCTAAATGATTATCTATCTTTAGATATCATTATCCAAAGTTACATTCCTCTTATTGATAGTATTAATGTCTTATTTAAAATCTATTTTAATAAAAAGTAACATTTGAGAAAAAATATCAAGCTGCATACAGAATTTAGGTGTAGTCAAATGAATCGACACAGATCTCAAAAATAAAACAGATGACACGATTCCATGAAATGTGGCGTGTACCAGACCAAAAAGACAAGTATTGGATCAAAATGAGTTTGGTTCTAAGACTTTTGTAAGTTGTACTTTTAAAGAGAGCCAGTGGCAAAGTTCCAAAACGACTCACTGGAGAGAAGAATTGCTTTAATTGCATAAATACATTAGGGAGGGTATGAACAGCCCCCATGCATTCCACTATATGGCGTCTTATTTCACACTTTTTAAGGTTTACACAACAGTTAGGCAGTACCTGAATCACTTCCCATGGTGCCTGAATCACTGCCCATGTTGCTGTTATGTCCAAGGCTTTCATCTAAGCAGCTGACACTTCCTTCTGCCAAACTTGTGTCTGATTCTGCAAAGGAAAACATTTTAAAATATTTTTAAAATATTTCTGAGAATAAACGTATTTTAACTGCACACCTCTACAGCACACAGTACCTACAGTTCAATGAAAGTGGGGAAGGCACACCCAGACAATTATGAATAAAAGGTAAGAGTTTCTGGCAGGCTACATTAGGAAAAATCCACTATGGATGAGCAGCTGCTGGGTAGTGACTCAAATACATATTACCTACTTAAAGTGCTGTGATCCAATGTAAGAACTGAAGCAAATTCTTAAGGGCTTACGACTTTGGTCATTGCTCACCATGTAGATTTTGCCCCCCAAAAAGAATATCCAAGCTTGATACTAGGTTTCAAATGAAAATACTATATAAAAAGCATTGAAACTATTTTCATGTGTACAATGGCAGAGAACTAGTAAAATATATAAAATTAATAAAATGCATGGATCTACTGATCAGTTATGAAAATATTTCAGAGATAAAGATGGATTTACAAAATCACAATTTAAAATCTAAAACAAATTCGTTCAAAAAAAATCCCTGAAACCTGGTTTTCCAGTGGTACCATGAGCTTATGTGTGGCTGGAAATAAATGTTTTCTTAACTATAATTAAGTTAAGCCTCTATCAAAGAGTTATGGTCAAACATGAACAGCAAGTGCACACCCTCCACTTAATCCGATTTTCTGGTTTCAGTAGTATCAATTCTTTTGAAAACCTTAATTTCTTCAAGGGAAGAATTTCTTCAGTACAGTTCAATTCTCAAAACTTATGCAATATCATTCTTAAGGATCAAAATTACCACCAACCTGGTAAAAATCAGTGCAGTGGTTACTAATGTAGACTTTGGAATCAGAAGGACTTGTGAAATTTGCTATTGATATTGCTTTGATCCTAAGTTTTTATTATTTAAAATGGGTCTAATACCATTTACCTCATAGGATTTGATAACCATTAAGTAGTATTGGGTACAACAAGTTTTTGGCACAGTAAATTGTTGTTAGTTGGTGATTAGAAAACGAAAAAAAAAAATATATCAAGTGGTGGTCTATTACTGGCAGGCATTCATTTAATAGTGTTCTTATATTTAATAATATTTCAAAACATTTATACATCTTAGGTAATTGTCATCTCCTTTTACACCTCCCTCAATGCACTAAGAAGTTACAGTAAGGTAGCCTTTAGCTGTGTAAAACCACTCTCATCTATCATATATTTAAAGCTGGAAAAGAAATTGATGATAAACAGACACGTAGCATGTTATCAAAAGAACTTCTCCAAAAGAGATGATACTAAAAACTTTAAGTACACTCTTTCTTTTGAACTAGTTCATTTTTTCAAGTCAGATGAGGTGTATCTTCTACACTGCAAAATTACTCATTTTAGTTGTATGGTTTGACGAATTTGATAAATGTATAGAGTTCTGTAAGATATTTCCATTACCACCCAAAATTTACGTCAAGCCTCTATAGAGTCAATGTCCTCCACTGTCCCCTGGTTACCACTGATCTGATTTCTGTCCCTACAGTTTTGCCCTTTTCAGAATGTCATATAAATGGATTCATGCAATATGTAACCTTTATGTCTTGCTTCTTTAATTTAGCATAAGATGTGTGAGTTTTGTCTATATTGTTGTATCTGTAATTTCTTCCTGTTTATTTCAAGCCAGTATTCCATTTGGTGTTTGTTAGTGACATCTAAGACATCACCCCTCCAATTCAGTTAAGTCTATTTATCTTGGGAGATGTAATGGAATTTCAGCCAATACCAATCAAATATGTAAGACATCTTTCTTAAAAGTTAAAAGAAAGCTGATAAGAAAGTTGTAGAAAAATTCTCAATGGACATCCATACTGTTTAAGTATATTAGCACAACATAAATATACTAATGTGAAAATACTGTGCTTATCAGTTGTCATAGATTAGCTCTAAAACTCAGATTTGAGGAATCCCTTATGATCACACGGGAAAACCTGTATATCTCACTGAGAGATTTTAAATATGGCACTTTGCAATTCCCAGAGGTATGTCTTGTTAGAAGCTCAGAGGCGAGTGTGGGATAGAACTGTCAAGTCGAAGAGCATTTTGGGCAGATGTACTGATGAAAAGAGAATATGATTTGTAAGGAAAAGGCAAGGTGTAAAATGAGATGGGGAAAATGTCATTGCAAGGATAATTCTAGATCTAGAAATATAGGCCAAGATTTTGACACAAAAAAAGTGAATTTTGATGTGCTTTACATTTGTTGTTTTAAATGTAGGTAGGACTGAGAACTTAAGAGAATAACAGAATTACTGGAAAATACTAACAAATATAATCTAAATTCTAACATTGTTTTCCAGTAGGCATAATAGAAATGAAAATTGTATTTGATCTTCATTTCCTAAACATTTAGCAGTTAAATCACAACCTTAAACCTGCCCTTCGTATATGTAGAGTCAAGCTTCATTTTAGCATGCGTAAATTTGGGAGGAGTTTTTATGTATTGTGCACAAACAATTTATAGAGAAAGTTGCTACTAAAACTAAGATATTATTAATTAAGTTCATTATCTGAATAATTTTGATCTCACAATCAGATCTGCAATGTGTCAGGAAGACACTGAGCTCATAGCTTTCACAGATGTAAATCATGACTTAAGTTCTCAACATTACTTGTGGTAGATATCCATTAATCTGTTCACTTTTGTAAATGAGAAACCAAGACTCAGAGAAGTTAATTTATCCAGATCACACAATTATGGGGCAGAGTCCCCATTTTCTAAATTCAAGTCTAGTGTTCCAGGGGCTGAAGATTGTGTGGAGCTTTGTAAACAAGTAAGCAATCCCACATCCACAATGTTAAGAGAAATCAAAATTACTTTTTTTTTTTTTAAAAAAAAGGCAATAGACATTTTCATTGGAATTTCAAGTTTTGAACCAAACTTAAAATAGAGCTTATCTTTCTAAGAAAAAACAAAAGAAGTTAGAAAAATGATTGTACTTTACTAGTACTTCTAATTCATTGAACTCCCATTAACTTTTTTCATTTAAGCAACCACACTCATTTTGCACATAAAGGAACACTTCCATCCTGTTGCACAAAATCAATTGTAATAATTCTGTTAGAGATTATTAAAAATGAAAGAGTTCCATTTCTTTGTCATTTTAAGGATATATAAATCTTCAGCTTCTCCACACAAAAATAATTTAGTTTCCTAGGCAGCAAATTTTTATGCATATATATATATATATATATATATTGCTTTCTTAGAAACAGAAGTACTAAAGGAAAGAAATTTAATAATAAAAGAAAATACTTCTCTTTAACAGTGAAAAGATCATACCCAGGAGTTTTCCTCCTGCATTCACTTAAAAAATCATCTGTCTCTCTTTCTATCTCTCTCTCTCTTACAAACACACACACACACACACACACACACACACACACACACACAATGAGATCAAAAAAAGTGCTCAAAGAAAGATGCAACCAACATATTGTGTTTATGTACCAAAAATTTCTATAAGTGACTTATTTTAGAATCATTTTGTGTTGTTCTTTGTACGTTTCAGAGCATGTCATTCTGAAGTTAAGTCCTAAGCACATGATTTTAAATTAGATCATATAAAATAAAGTTAATAAGAGGCAGGATGTTGTCATACACCGATCATGCGCTTTGGAGTCCAATGGATCGGTCTTCATATCTGAACATAACAGTTTTAAGAAATAGTTTTTACTTTCTTATTTATTGTAAAAATGATTTTATTCAAACAAGGAAAACAATTGCAGGAGAAATAAGGCTTAAATTCTTGTGAAGTTGCTGCTTAAAGGAGTACTGACCATTGGAGTTACATTGTGTAATAGGTTTAATTAACTTTTATATAGGTATCATTTCCTCTAGGGAAAATAGCAAAATTAACTATGAAATAGACTAGAAAACAGTAGTAATTTATATCAAACTCGACTGGAATGAAATAAAACCATGCCTGTTCGAGTAAGAGATAAGGTTTTCTGTAATAATTTTGTAAGCAACACAGAAAAGAACAGTTTTGCTCACAGTGACAGGAAATATCTAAGACCAGTCCATAAGTCATGGAAAACTACTGCCTCATTCTGGAATTCCATCTTGAATATTTTGCTAATATGGCAGGAATATTAGATTTAATCCAAGAAATTTTATATTTAACATACCCTAGACCTTAAATGCTTTAAAATATTTAAAAATCATTTAGAAACCAAAAATATTGAAGTTAAAATTTCAAACAACAACAACAACAAAAACCCCTCTTGAAAGCCTTTTCAGATTTATTTTAATGTAAAGTCTGCCCTCTGCTGGAATGTGCTATTATAACAAGTAGTAGACAGACAATATGTTTTTTATTCCAAGAGCTAAGGTTCACCAGGCAAAATACAAATTGTTTCTTACTTCTATTCCTTCCAGGTAGTGTTCCTTCTACGTTTAGTCTAGATGCTTGTTTACTCTATACCCTCTATCTCTCCTTTCTTGTAGGTTCTCTTTCCTAAAAGGTGATTTTGCCTTCCAGAAAGAAATGATGTGAGGGGCAAGGGCCCCTGTGGACACTGAGGAAGAACACCAACTGCTTTCTTCTCCTGAGAATTGGTGCTTCCAACGCATTTGAGTTATCTCACTTCACTTTTCATGGTAATTCTGTGTTGAGTCTTGTTCTGACCTCATGATGTTCTCAGTGTCACATCTAGCCACCCCATCTTCCCTCCAGTTTCATCACCCTCTCAGCATGGAACATCAGACTGCCCCAAAAGCCTGCAACACACATTCACATATGGGCACTCACAAAGAGACTGCATGGATTTCTTAAATGTGTTTACTTTCATACTACTAATAATATATATTTCCTTTTTCTTTTGAAACAACTTAATCTTTCTTTTTTTTTTTGAGAGGAAATAGATCACTTTTATTTTCAGCTCTATGTATATGGATCTACACACACACACACACACACACACACATTTTGGTCTGTCAGATTTTTCTCTCTGTGCCAGGGAAC